CTGTTTCTTCAATTCCGACAAAACTACTAAACGGATCTACAACATTACGATACTCATCTGTTCCAAGTCTTTCTAGAGTTCCTTTATTTGTTAACGGTAGTGGTTGAGGTAGCTGGCAAGGGCCTGTTGCCGTACGAGTGGCTGTAGCTAGGACAGAAAGGCGAGTTTGCCCAGTGCCCAAACTGCCCGCAGGCGAAGCATTTGTCGGAAGGCTGTGGTGTTCGAGAACTCCGATACGGCCGAAAGGACTGTTGAGTAAATGGCTGGTGGCGAAAAGGCTGAGAGGTAGAGCTATTTGAAGAACCTCCGGCGCCCAGAGAGCCATCACGGTCCTGCTGAAATTTGCGGGTCTGACCAGAACTTCGAGACTGTTTACGCAGGCGAATCTTGGAGAGCGCCCTTCTTTCGGCAGATCGCAGTTTCTTCTCGTCTTCCGAATCGTCGGCCAATTCGTCAGATTCATACTCTTCCACCGCCGCCCAACCAGCGGGACTCTTGTCTGCAAAACGTATAACTTTGTTTCGCTTGTTCAGTGACACTTTGACGTTCTCAAATTCCTTGTTAACACCTGACAAGTCTCCCTCGTGGAGGTGATCGAAAGCAATGTTTATAGAGTCTAACAAGCTCGAATTTAACTCAAACTGTAGCTTGTTACCTTTAAACTGGAAGCTACCGGAAGCCCTCGCTTCAGTCTTCAACTTCTTGATTTGAGAGTTAGTCGAAAGCCCCTTCTGCTCAAGAGCACGCTTAAAATCAGCAAATTTCTTATCCAACTTTGAATCCAGGAGACGGGAAATAAATCCCACCGTTTCCTCGCCCGAAAGGTCGCTCGCTTGACCGATCGCAGGACCAGCGATGTTCGATTGAGAAAAATCAGTGCCCGTTTCATCCATAATTTAGAGAACGGTAGCGAGAGATGCCGTCAAGTGACCTTGAATCTGCAAAGAACACCTTATATACCTGACAACAAATAATCACGCACACTGTCAAAATAAATCACGCGACAAATACCAACACATCCGTATGCAAAGCACTGAAGCAATGTGCATTCCTTAACGCGAGAAAATACATTTATTAGAAATAACTCTATAAGACGCAAGTTCCTTACCAAAAATGGTTTGAAAACTCCATTTTTAGAACTTCCGATCTGTTTTTGTGTGAAGGAAGGTTAATCCGGTCTTATAATGGTCTGGTCCTCAACTTGAATAAAGCTGTTTATCGCGTATTAGTTTCACGCCAAAACATGTAAAATAAGAGTAATAAAAAATAATGATATTGAACCTTGAAAAAGTAAAACTATTGTTATTCTATAAAATATAACTTAAGTTGTTGATATATATGTCATTGGTTGTCTTTACACTAGGCTTTCAAGTAAGACTTAAGAGCCGCTAAGTATTACTTAACCAAAAATTCGTGTGTGAAGACATAAGTAAAATATCAAGTAACTTTGCTTTGCATCTCATTAAAGTCGGAAAGTTGAAACGATTCAAGAAAGTTTCAAGCGACTTGAAAACCATCCTTATGACCGACTTAGCTGACTTGCGGTTTTGCGGTTTCTTGAGCTTTGAGAAAGGCGAGACATGTCAATCAATCTTGATTTTGTTGCGTGGGAAAATAACCTGAAGCAATAAAGAATCGGTTGTGTGTGAAGCTGTATTTTAGTTGAAGTTATGAAAATTTACTTGTCTTGAAATATTTCTTAGCTTATTTAGGCTCTAGTGTAAAGACTACCATTGTTTTGACTTTTACCATCTTTTAAGAAAGGAATTCTTGACGTCAAGAACTTGTCTCGAACTCTCTCTTCGTGATATTTGCTTGTGTGTTGCCCTAACCTGAGATCAGGCGCGATCTTTTTTTTTTTTTTGCTTCTTTGCTTCTTTGGCTCGAGAGGGAAAAAAGTAACGCCTGATACATTTATTTAACAAGCAGTCTAACGTCTAGCGTCTAACGTCTGCTTGACCTGTCATGTTATTAGCCAATAAGCGTTTACCATACGGGAATCAAATTTTGGCGCGAATAATGTCTCTTTTGAAATCAATTTTAGGGAAAAGAAAATTTTTAGGTACGTCCATGTTCAGATGGCGCTTCCTAAAAATAGTTTTTAATGTGTTGTTTTTGTGATGAAATACTGCTAGCTGACTGTAGTGTATTGATTACCAAGTTATGCCAACATAGTTGAACCGCTTAGAAAGCTTACTCGTAAGAGGCAGAAAAAGGCCTGGGAAAAAGAACAAGCAAAGGCATTCAAAGCCTTGAAAGAAGCGGTGTCAGACGCACCAGTTTTGGCTTGTTTTAGCTTAAATGCCCCGACTTAGGTAATCACAGACGCCAATCCAGCTGGTTTAGGTGAAATTTTATTGCAAGACCAATGCAAGTCAACGGTGAGCGTAAACCGATCGCCTACATTAGTCGATCACTCACATCGACGGAACGGAGGTATTCACAAATTGAACGCGAAGCGTTAGGTTGCGTATGGGCTGTCGAACGTCTACACAATTATTTGTTTGGCATTAAGTTTACTTTGTTGACCGACAAAAAGCCTCTTTCTTCTATGTTTGATCCAAGCAAAGTTTTGCCTCCTCGTATCCAGCGTTTAGCTTGGGGGTTAAATCAGTAGAGTACAGCTAATACAGCAGATTCGCTGTCGCGATTGCCATTCTAGCAAAATGATTGTTCAGATACCGGTTTCGTTTGCGAAAATTATGTACGATTTGTTTACATGTCAAATATGTCACATCTTCAAGCGGTCACTCTTTCTGACATGAGATGCGAAACTAGCAAAGACGTCACGCTGTCCAAATTACTTACCCAAATTCAAACTGGAAAATGGTCACGCGGTACTGATCTTGAACCGTATAGCCGCATAAAGGACGAATTGTCTATTTTTGAAGGAGTAATTCTTAGAGGGAATCGAATTGTTGTTCCACAGTCTCAATCAAAACAAATTCTATCACTAGCGCACGAGACGCATCAGGGAATTGTAAAGACCAAACAATTTCTTGGAACTCGTTTTTTTCTGGCCCGGCATGGACGATGCAACAGAGAAAATGATCAAAAATTGTCAAGCATGCGTGGTGAATCAACCCTTGAATAAATACACGCCGCTTCAGCCAACGCCTCTACCTCGTGGTCCTTGGGTAAAAGGCGCAGTACAGTTCATCAGCGAAGAGTTCGAAGCGTTTCTCAAATCGTGTGGAATAAGGCATATTCGTGTTTCTCCGTACTATGCGCGAAGTAACGGAAAGTTGGAGAGATTTCACCGATACTTAAAAAGGAAAATTTCGGGCGGTCATCTCTGAAGGCAAGTCCTGGCAAAAGGAACTACCGAAAATTCTTATGACTTATCGCGCAAATCCACATCAAGTTAGTGGAAAATCGCCTAGTATGCTAGCGCTGTTGTTCAATCACGAAATTCGTACCAAGGTACTGCACGTTGAGTCTAACTCAAATACAGCAGCATCGGCATTTGATCGTGACCATCGATCAAGATGTAGCTTGTATCAAGCGAAATTGAAAGACTATCATGACACCAAGCAACATGCGTCCTCGCATAATTTTAGCGTTGGCGATGTCGTGTTTTGTGCTAATATGAAGCCCAACAAATTGGACTCGAAATTCTCTTTGGTTAAGCACGTTATCATTGAGACCAAAGCGCGGGACACGTTCAGTCTAGTCAACGTGGACACGGGTACCACCTTGGTTCGCAATGCAAAGTATTTGAAGCATGCGCCTAGTAAGAGCATAGATGATGATGGCGAAGTAGAAATTTCTACCAACCAAAAGGAGTCCAACAATTCTAGTGACTCTAGTGCTAAGGTTTCTGACAATTGTGAATGACAACACTGAACCTTCTGGACATGTTGACGAGCAAGCCTCTCAGAATGAACAGGTCATCACCACTAGGTCAGGACGAGTTGTAAAGTTAACTAAGGACTGTGATAATTTTGCATATTATTGACATTAAATTTTGCTGATTTTATATGATCTTGTGACTGGTTAAATGTATCTTTCGAATATTCTTGGAATCCGCCCGGGAAGGATGTAGTGTATTGATTACCAGTAACGATTATGTACTATTACCAACATCAGTGAAACTACATGTACTAAGTGATATTAAAGTAATACAGCACGAATGTAAAAGTACCGATACTAAGTGAAAGTAGATTATGATTTGTACTATAAAGATAGTGGTTCAGTTAATAAAGGACATTATGTAGAAAGCAATGAAAGTGTGAGTATCTCCTTGTCCCATGACTACACCACACTGACCGAAAGCAGTGAAAAAAAAATTAGGCTGAAGTACCATATTTCACGAACTGAAAGGTGTTGTGAAAGCGAAGATCGCTCAGAATAATTCGCAGCATGATTTCTAAAGGAGGAATTACAGTCAAACCAGGTCAAGATTCCATTCATGAATTTATTATTTGAAAAGTGAACCCGTTTGTCGCTTCTGTAACTTATAGCCGGTATCAAATTGCATTCAAATGGTCGGTAAAGTTTTGACTGCAACTGTTTTAGTATACGATGAGATGGAAAATATTTCAATGGAAGAAACTTCTATTTAGGCATTCTTCAAATTCAAGAAAACTGAGCCGGCAGAAATTTCATAACGAACTCGCTTGTGTATTCACTGCTCATTACGCAAGCAAAAATGCAGACTGAAATCAACAACAACTAACGGATGGCAGCATTTTGGCTGATCGGAACAGCGCAAATCATCCGTATTGTTTCCTATCCAATCAGAAAAAAAGTCCAGATTCTGGCTTTTTTTACATGTGATCCGACAAAGAAATGTATCATGCCCTCTTCCCGTGAGAGACATAAAGGGATAATAGGGAGAGGGCATGATCTCAGGCTAGTCACGGTTGCCCCGACACCGTCAGGCGATTTCTTCGCTTCTTATCCTGTATTTCCTAAGTCTTTATCTTCAGTTAAACTCAAGAAATATGGAAATGAACATAAATCGTGAGGAAGTTACGAATTTCGACAAATGTCAACATTGTTAAGGGCAATTTTGTTAATGTGCGGTTTATTCCGAGTCGTGACCTTACAGTACAGGGTCACCCAACGATGGTTTCCTTCTAAATGCATTAAAATGTCTTATTAGGCTGTCCAGAGTACTTTTAGATCTCTAGAAATGCATTCAAAGTTGCGCTATAAAATTTGTATCTTTTCGGTCATCCAAGGGGAACTATAGGCTTTTCGAAATTACAAGGGCTTCAGTGATATTTTCCCGAAAATTTTAGGATGCAGTTGAACGTTTTACGAAAGTGAGAATTTTACTTATTTCTCTCTCCATCACATTTTTGAATCCGAAAATTTTAGGTTTCCTTTTTCTACGAAAGTTAGCCTAACATAAGGAGTAAAATATGAAAAAATAAACTTCAGAAAATCTTAGGGAATTTTTTAGATAGGCTTCGAAAATTGTACCTGAATAGAACGCTTACCTAGAAATTAGAAGCCGTATTCAAGCAATGGAAAATTTTAGGCAATATTAGTTTCTCCGAACAGATATTTTACAGAAAACAGTCGTTGGGTGCCCCTGTCGATTGATTATTATTGTGTAAACCTTTTTCAGCGCCAACTGCTGCTCCAGTTAACGTGCGGGGACGCAACCTGAGTTCTACCAGCATTTTGGTAGAATGGGGCGACGTACCGGAACCTGAGCGAAATGGCATTATACTCAGTTACACAGTTACTTATGAAGTGCCTCCTGGTGCCCCTCCACAACGCCAGATAGTGAATGCTTCAACTAGGCAAGCAACGCTGACAGGACTCAACAAGTTTACAGAATATAAAATTGCAGTGTTTGCCAATACTTCAAAAGGAGGTGGAACTGTAAGCGAACCTATCCAGGTGACAACGGACGAAGACAGTAAGTAGACCATTGTATAGGTTACTGCTGCAAATTTTGCTGCTAGCAACAGACGCCCCTTTTATATGGTTTTTGTAATATTACTGTATAATACCATTGCCGAGTGGGATGTCAGTGTATGCGTCATGGACTTATATTTTATTGGTATATGTACAAAGACCAGGACATAAAACGTAATTTCTTAGCAACAAATCGATCAGGATGTTTTCTGTTGGGACTGTAAATTAAGTAGAGGCCAGAAAATGAACAAGTAGAAAAACGCAAACAATGAACAGAGCTCGTTGTAGTAGTTTTAAATTTAAAATTAATGTTCACTTAGTATTTGAAACATAACCGTCGTTCAACGTAGCTGTTTAAACTAGATCGTGATTTTCGCTTGCAAATTTGTAACGCAATGTTTATCCATACCGGGAGTACTTTTAAAGAATTATTGGCCTGTATTTCTGTTTTCTCGCTGGAAAAATGCATGTAGTAGTGCACAGATTCCCGGTGCCCGTAAAGTGCATGTATTTGCCATCGGATGTCTTTTCAATCAGTCAAGTGCCTGTATGAATCAGGGAACCAAATATATAACAATTATTCACCGAAGTAGAGGTGGCTAGTATTGGATATTTACCGAGGCCGCGATAGTAATCGGATTTAGTATATACTAAAACAGTGGATAGTGTTTTTCGCGCGCTCTGATTGGCTACTCGATCAGTGAATATCCTGTATTATTAGTATATACACACTCAGTGATCTTGGTGATTTAAGCAATCTGATTGGTTCGCTATCTCGGACTATTCAACAATATTCACCTCCTAGCGAGTGGATAATGTGTGAACTCGGTGTTTTTCCCATTTTTTTAGAGAACGATCTTTTAAAAGTCGACAAAATCCTAGGGCTGACTTTTTTTAAGGCAAGAACAGTCTTGGAAGGATTCAATACGCGATATTAAACGGCGTTTTTCAATTTACTGTAGCTGAGTTTTGTGCTCGATGGATTGTTTACAACTCCCGTGCATTCGCGTAGAAGAAGCCGTTTCGTGAACCCAGCGTTTTCTCACAAGAAAATTTGGGCTCAAAAATCGAAGTTCATTTATGACAAACAAATTTAAAAGGAAATGTTTGCAGAAATTCTACGTTTCAAGTAAACAGGAAAAAGAATAATACAGGAAGACGACGTCTTACCTCGAGCAACCGAGCCACCATTTTTGTCAGCACTTCATGCGAAGAACGACACAACAAACCCTTTTGGCTATAAACTAGGCGTGTCAACAGAAAACAACAAAGATCTACTTTTCTTCTCAGGTAAGGAAACAGTTCAAACTTTTAGCGTTTCCATTTAAGCCATTACGCTGTTGTTTGCGAAATGATAAACTTGTGAATTGCCATGTTTGAAAATTCTGCAAAGATATATTTTTAAACTTACGCGTGATTTGATCTGTCAATCAAATTGTACTTTTAAATGGTTTCCTCTCTGATTTTGTTGAGATCACTTCGTGTGTATATACTAAAACAATTATTCTTTTCAATCTCGGTGAATAGTGGCTTTAAGAATATTTACCTCGCCGCTTTCGCGGCTCGGTAAATATTTTGCCACTATTCACCTTGATTTAAAAGAATAATTGTTAACTATTCACTGATTCACCTCCAGTTCCTGCGAGCGAGCGACGCCAAACTCGCGTAAGTTGCGAGCAAAATGCTTTCCCGGTTTGCTGCCGTAACAAACTAAGAAATTTCACAACTAATCAAGCAAGCTTTTTCCGAAATACATGAAGAAGGTGACGAAGTTCGGTTTGGAAGTTTTAACAGGTAAAGCTTTGTCTTTTTGACTTGAATAGTTATCGATAAAACCGGCGAAAAAGTTTTTTGTTTACAAATGCAAATTAAGCTCAAGTCTTTCGTTACTTTATTTAGTTGACTTGTTCATAAATAAGCTTAAAACTAAATTTAATAATCTGTTTTACAGAATTATTTTAAATACAAACAGAATTCACAACTCCTTTTGAAGAAACTTCCCCGCAAGAGCTAAACAAACGCCTTCAAAAGTTTTATTTGTCACTAAGAAAAAGCGACGACCGCGGCCATTCGGTCATCGCGCGCCAAAATTGTAATCGTTGGCAACAGTAAATGAGTTAAAAATCATCATTTTGTGCTCAATTATCTCACTGTTCTAATACTAAATCCGATTATGGGAGAAAATATGCGAGTTAATATAAATTATTAGAGTGAGCGTCGGGACTAAGGAACTGACTGTTATAAGCGGGAGTCCACTGTACGGCCTGTAACTGTCAATAGTCCTTGTCACGGTTTTCGACGCCATCTTGACGAGTAGGCAAACGTGTGAGAAATTACAGTGTTTGTATGAGGATCTAATGTCGAATAATTTCCGTAAAACGGCTGTTCTGAAAAAAATATCAATTGTAAACTAAAGCTACAAAGCAAAGGATTGTCGTAAAAAAATTTGGAGCGGTACTTGTGCTTTAATTTCTCCAGAGGCTTGCTTTAGATTTTCCATATAATTATTTGTCTGTAATTTTCCCGGGACTTTCTTACAGACAAATGTATAGAAAATTTTAACAAGTGGTTCTAGGTCTTCTAGTGCATGTAACGCCCTCAAATCTTTTCAGGAGTATCCTTAGGAGTGAAGCTTTAGTTTACAAATGCTTGCAAATGCTCATAGAAACTCGCTTGAAATAAAACATCCCGATGTATGTAGTGTTTAAGTGGCCCAGAAATCGGGGTACCAGAGGTTTGCTACAAAGCTTTTGTGTATTCTTTTTTTGGAATACCATCAATCGAACGCACTCTTACATGTAGTTCAAAGGTCTATTCATGAGTAAAATAAGAGCTGCATCGGCCATACAAGGATGCGCTTTTGCGGGGGTAGCAATTGTTCAGTAAACAAAATAGAAAACAAAAAATTTAAAATTCGGCATATTTTATAATTGTGCACTTTTTTTTTTATCCAACTGAGCTAA